CAAATGCACCAGAGTGATGAGCAAAATGGAGCTCCAAGCCTTAGCAATCTTGGCAGTGAGCACTTGCCCACACGCTGTACACATGCTGTGCACATATCGTCTGCATCGGAGATCTCACTATCTGAGAGTCCATCCCTCTATGCCTCTGATTCGTAACTCGCCAGAACCGAGGCTTAACCATCTACACTGTTGCTCACGTCAACGCTTTTCATGAAGGCGTGGTTCGCCGCAGCCGTGTGTCTCATCAAACAAAAATTGTTCTGAAACTGCCATCACTTAGTCATTTTGGTAAGGTTCAAATCTATTTGCACTTATTTGTCTCCGTTAGGTGTATCCGAAATCGGTAACTAGTCAAATCTCAATGTCAGGTGGTTCTTATGTTTACCGCAGAGAAACCGGCAATTTGATTTCCAAACTTCACGTAGATGTTCGTTTCCTGTGCTCAAGTTTTGATAAGCATTATCCCTTCAATAGGGTCAGTTTTATTTTGAAGTTTACTGCGAAGAAACGGAACTGTTACTCATCTCCTGTAAAAATACATGCAGCCAAGGGCTTGGCTAGCAGTCGGCCCTCCTTCTAACAAATTTATTTCCTTTTCTTGGAAGTACTTCAAATGCAGGGTTACCTTCATGAGACTGTTTATTTGACAAGGCACTGGTTACTGTGACAAATCAGCATACCGTGTCCTTTTGGTGGAGCTCTAGTCACTAAGTTTTGTGGGTTTTGCGCGGTTCATCACGAGCCAATGGGAAGGTTGGAGTTTTGCCCTATTCCATGTGCTAAAATGTTGCGATTGGCTGAGAAGATGGTGTTGGTGCTAGTTGTAAGGCAACTGCAAGCCTTCAGTAGCATTTGCACGTGTGTACAAATATTTCCAAAGGTGACGTAAATTTAAAACAGTACGGAACCTCCATTGATGCTTGTTTTTGATACTCAAAAGCCAAACAGTGTTAGGGAAAAGGAACTGAAGCTTTGACAATGCATTACTAAGTGAGATCAAGTTATGAATATCAAAAGCTATTTTTAGCGAGGATGGCAAAAGTGTTTCCAAAAAAGTGGACTAGTAAAATTATGCTTATTCAGCGCTAATTTTTGCAGGTTTTGCATCATGCGTAATATCGCAGATGTCTTTGCCGTTCTCACTGTGGAGCTGTCAACTCACTCCTCATATATCCCTTTATACCTCAGCTTTGCAGATCCCAATTTGTCAAATATCGGCTGCTTTGCATACGTCAAGTGTTGATGGGCACTAAAATAACAGTGGACCTGAGCGGCTAAAAAT